GTATACGTACTTATTTGTTGTTGACTAAAAATTGCCAATTTTTGGATGCTGAAAAATTGGGTCTTGTTCCACTTGTTATTTTTTGTTGTATTTAAACGTATTAAATTAGTATGTAGGTGCACGAAATTTGATGATTTTTTGTTTATTTGTTTTTCTGACTTAAAGAAATACCAGCTTTGTTACCGCTACTTTCAATGTTAGTGAGGTTTAGAACTTTTTTAGGACGTGGATGGATTTTTGGGTGGTTTTCGTTAAATTTTGAGATGTATACTTTGTCTGAATGGAAGGCATAATCTCTCACCACTTGCTCAGATCGCTGCGCAGTAGCGTTTTTGTTGTTCCCATTATTCCGTCAGCGAAAAAACACTCACTTTCAGAAGAAGCCAGTTCCGGTGAGTTGTTTGTCAGTTTAAAATAATCATGGAATTTCACACTACTTGTCTTAAGGTGATCAAAAAATATACCGCCTAGAAAAGTTTTTTTAAAGACGGAAGCATTCAAAAATTTAACATGCAAAGGATTTTTGAAACCATTATTTTTACCTTCTGTGAAACCTACACAGTAATGTTTCTCTCAATCTTTTCCTCTTATCTGGTGTTTGTTTATTGTTTGGTTCTTTTCAAGGTTTGAAATAATGTATTTCAGGTGTTGAACCGACCGAACTTTATAAGGATTTAAAGAAACGGATAGAAGAGTTCAAAATACAGCTTGTTAAGTTAGTTAAACAATCCAGCTTTAACTTCTCCTAGTATTTCGGCTGCTTTACACGCTTTTTAATTTTCGATTAACGTTTGAAATAGCGAATAATTTTATTTCTCACTTTTATCGTTAAAGAGAAACCTGTCGATGAGATTTTTTGTTCTTATCAACACTTTATTCTATTTTGTTTTTTATTTTTTATACTTGTTCTTTTGCAGAAACAAAAGACATACTTTTCTTTCACGTTCTGCCAAACAGTCATTGGTGAAACTAGAGAGGGCTGTAATAGAAATGAAGCATACTGTAAAAAGTGTAGATGGAGAGCAGCTGACTTCTTCAGTCCCGTCATCCGTTACATTAGAGGCAAGTGGTTGACTATGTTCTGCAGTCACTTCCCACCATAGATAGAAAACATCTATTATTTTTAATCAAAAAAGCATCTCTGGACCATTTGCTAGCTGAATTACGATTTTTTAAAGTTTTTTAAAGCTTCTAAAGATGAATCTTATTACTATAATAGACCTCATTGCAAGGTTCTAAGTTAGACCAGAAGTTTTTACACATATTGAATTTATTTGAATAGTGGCTTAGTTAGTGTTACTGGGGCACTAGATGAAGTTCAAATAAAGAAAGACTTTTGCAGGTTTTAAGTAATGGTACAGCACATACAAACCCTTCATGCTTTATTAGAACGCCGTTTAA